CGACACTAGCCTTCTGTGGCCGTCTCTGATCCTCAGACCGAGACAGACCAGTACCCCTATGCTGTTCGGGCTTAGACCTGGACCATCGTGAAATGAAGGACTGAAGGCCGCTGAGCACGCCTTTGCCTCCCTGAACTTCTCGACCACCGTCTCAACGGAGGTAACCAAAAATATTCAGAAGGCGAAACCGGCGCATCGAGAAGAAAGCCCCTCTCTTCCATCCCGATATCTGCCAGGTTCACCCACAGATGTCTCTCAATACCTACTATAGCTGCCATGCTTAATAGCACAGAGAGAGATCTGTGGTGCGGCGAAACTCAGCTACCTCATCAGGCCTTTATCCAGGTCTTCCAGCAGGTCAGCCTAATATGCCTGGAGCACCGCATTGTGCGCAACGAAGCAACAGCCTGACCTGCTGCTGCGTATGCCCTGCCATCTAAGCCTTTTTCCACGGAAATTGCATGCTTAAAACAAAACGGTCAGTGAAGACGAAGAAGAGAATGACATGTTCTCCCGGCGCCTATTTATACTATAATCGCACCGGTAGTGATGTCATGGGCTGTCGCCGGCCAACGTTTTGTTGGTGTTTTTTCAATGTATGCTTCAGACACGGGTCACGATGAGGCTTTCCCCATAGCGACCCCTAGAGGACGCAGTTCGAAGTTCCCTTGAAAGGGAACTCCTTTTATCAAAATGCAATGACAAATCTGAGTTTGAGAAAACATCCTGTCAGTCACGAAGCAAATATGTTCGTCTGATCCGTACAGTGCGTCATTTACATTAATTTTACATGAATTCGTGTTTACAATGCTCAGCTTTGCAAATCTCAAATGGAGGCTACAATAACTCATAGTTCTTGCTGGAACAGAGAAGCTAATATATTCCTGAGTGGCTTTTATCCATCATCGCTCAATTGTTTTGTCAAGACTGTAGATTTAACAAGGCAAGCGAGTGATTTTTCACTCATGGTTTAATGCAGCTCATAATAAACTTAGTTCCCAAGTCTTTCTTTTCAATTTAATTGATGAATCAAACAGAACAATGGCTCTAAAGTGCACAGAAGGGGCTTACGTGTAAACTTTGAGCACGAAGTCTTTCTCCTCTTTGAGTTCAGAGATGGTCTGAAGGACATCGCTCATGGCCAGCACTGCGCATCCGTACGGCCGGCGGTACTGGACCTGAGGGGGGCCTTTCTTCGAGTCGTTTAACAACATCCGCCCTGAACAAAAATACATTATACATCACTGTCAGAAATACGGGTACACAGTACCATCTGCATGATTATACAAATCCTGTCCGTGCATGCAAGAAACAGCAAATGACATATTTTAGCTTGTTAGCCTATAGAGCAACATTTCCCTGTGGATCAGTGGCCATTATAATGTTGTTACATTAATGTTTGTGTCAATTTATTGGCTAATTATTGGCAAATTATATCACTTTAGTACTCCTATAGCTGGAAAATATAACTAAAACAATGGTATTTCATTATTTTTGGCCTTCTGAATATAAAAATAAATTAAAAATCAAGAAAAAAATTTGATGAAGAATCAAGTCAAATATAACAATAAAATAATAAATCGTGACAAATAAGTTATCCAGAATTACTTATTCTTATTAAAAAACTATAAAAAATGTTAATGCAAACGGATCATCAAATCAGTGAATTAACTAACTTAAAAGGGCAGAAATCAAATCAAAATGTACTACTCTGATAATTTTATGAAACTAATTCAAACGAGTTTCAAACACTTCCACCCGCCTGCCATCACAGAAACATCTAAAGATAATCAAAGTTTCCACAATCCTCACAAAAGAGGTTAAAAATGGCCATTGAGACTCAAAAGAGGAAAAGTTTTGTCTCATTTGGGGGGTTGAATGGTCTGTTCCAGCCTCCCAGTCACCTGTCCCTTTATAAACTGGAATTAAGCTTGCAGTGCCACACTTATGTAAGAGCTCTAGAGATGCAGTTGCTAGCAGAAATGCAGTGCCTTGTGGCAACATTTGGCTCCAAATGAAGGAAATGGATAGAGGAGAGACAGAAAGGGAAAGAGGCTAAATGAGACGGGATACTCACCCGTCCTGATGACCTGGGACACAATGTACAGATCTCGCTTCATGTCCTTGTTGCTTAAGTCCTGTGAGAAAATAAGAGAAGCTACTTAGTGTCCCTTTTTTATGTATTTTTCTAGCCATAGCAATAATGGTTGTTAGTCCCACCGTAAAGAGGGCGCAGAGACGATCGACCTTCTCTGGGTTTTTTGGGCCACCATTTTTGTTGAGTTTCACCATAAACTTCTCACTGGAAGAAAAAAAAACCTGAGAGGTTGATTTTGAGTTCACACAAGAAAGTTGTCAAATACAAATGTTCATCATTTAGACAAGAAAATACAGCTAGAAGTAATTACTCTCTAAATTAAAAACTGGTTTTGCTTCAGACCCACGTTTTTACTTATAAACATCAGCTGGTTTTCGTTTAAAAATGAACAAAATTATCCTAAATGATGAAGTGTGTGATTTCTGTGTCAATAGTGTCACAAAATTGTCACAGAGTTTTTATGCAGCTGAATCAATTATCAATCTATGAAGTCAATTATATTTATATAATTTATATTATAAATAAATATATTTAATATATACACAAACTATTTTTCTGAAATATATACATGCATGTGTGTGTATTTATGTATAGATAATAAATATACACAGCACACTTACATATATTATGTAAACAAAAATTTTGGATGTAATAAAATAAAAACAAATAAAAATGAGTAAATTTATTTTTTTTTAAATCATTAATGTTTATAAATGTAACTATATTTAATAACTAAAAATGTGGCACTTATATTCAAGCAGTTACATAGCATTGCACTTTTTATTTTTGAATGAATAAACTGATAACTGATTTATGTATTTTATTCCATTAGCAACATATTAAGAGTTGAAAGCACTATTATATAAGTTTAGGATTTAATTTTATATTGGAAATTTTTATTTATTTATGTTCCATAACCTCATGTGGCTCCTCATGACATCAATCTGGATTTAATTCTACACAGTGGACCCTCATGAATTATTCCAGAGCTCACACAGGGAAGACGTGAGAAAACACTGAGAATATTAATAAAGTCATGTTTTAATGTCTCTCTGTTTCCAATGGATTGACTGTGCTGCAATCAAATCACACTTCCTGTCTGCTCTGATCCAGTCTAATGGAGTCTGTGGCACCAGAGAGATCCTGACGGCGTCAGTACTATCTGAGTGTGAGCCGTGCAGCTGTAGAGATACAGGTGGCTTTGCGAATGCTGCCTAGGTCTTTCCTCAAGGACAGATGCCACCTGAGTCATTTCTGAACAGATCAACAGTGAGTCGATTCAGTTACTGAACAATGACATTTATTTACTGGAACCATCTGTCATCATTTTGATGCAACATGACTTTATGAGAGTCCAATAATTGCTTCTGCATTACTAATCACAACTAAATAACTAGATTGTATAACTGAACAAAACTAAAGTGGATAAAATTCAAAGCATTTATTTATTTATCTATATGTTTGTTTGTTTATTTATTTAAAAACAAATGAAGTGGTTTATTTGCATTCTTATTTTTGAATGAATATGTAGATTTTTTTTTTAATTGCAGACACTTTAGGGATGTTTATAGCCTCTTTTATGTAATTTATTTAGATAAATAAATAAATAAAACTGAATAAATAAACTGACAACTAATTCCTTCATTTTATGGAAAAGAGCAGCATGGACATTCTACAAAACATCTTTTGTATAAATAAATAATTTTTGAATTAATAAATCAACTTCTTCATTTTATGGAGAAAAGCCGCTTTTGTATAAATAAATTAATAAAGAAATAAAATGTATTTAAATAAATAAATAAGATAATATAAAAAAATAATTAAACAAATATATCTAATTTATTTTTATTTACATTTTGGTTTTTGAATTAATAAATTCATAACTGCGCAATGGAATCATTGGGAAAAAATTTAAATAAAGCCCTAATGACTGTCTCAGTGCCAGCAAACTCTGAAATGTTATTTTTGAGAGCTTAATTAGATATTACCTCAAGATTTTAAGCCAGTTCTCCTTGCTGAGAAATCTCCACATGACACATCCGATCCACAGGAGCCAGTCCTCATGCATATCAAACACACTGCTTCAAAACCAAACCTCGCATCACAAAATATCTCTGTGCTGCTTCTGCTGTTGGCACAAGTATCAAGACTTCAGCTTCTTGGTCGCGGTACAGGCTTTGTGAGGGAACATGTATTTTTGTCATGCGCAAACAAATGTGTGAAATATATTCAGCATATAGTCTACACTGTGTTTCAGTGCAGTGACTAAGCATTGCAAACGATTTCTGACAAAAGCAAACCAGAGGTTTTTAAATGAGCCAATAGTCTAAGCGCTGGAGTCCAGTCAGTGAGCTCATGCTGAACTACTGGCTGAAACCGCAGCGTGAAACCATGTCAAATCGCAGTGACAACTTCACTGACTCTGATGGAATGGGAGTTCATGCGTTGCTCGCTTTCTATGCATAATTTATTCAACATTTGAATAACAGTTTTGTTTTTAACGCTGCTGGGAGAGCCAATTTGAAGTTTAGGCACTAGAATTACTGATGGAGAAAACAGCAAAAAATGTATTCAAGAACACAGGCTCAGTTTGTTTTAGATGTCTAGCCAGATGCCATTATAACAAGTGTTATAATTGAAAATAAATAAATAAATAAGGCTTAATTTATTTTTGTACTTATCATCATCATTATTATTATTATTATTATATTATTGTTATTATTATTATTATTATTATATATTTTTACAACACACAACCAATGTTGCATTACAATAAATATTTTGCTCATTTCTAATGCAAAAATGAATGAATGAATATTACATTTAACTTATTATTATTATGATTATTATTATTATTATTATTTTATAAAACCCTTGCTAATTCCTATGGTATATAACTAACTAATACTAATTTTTTAAATGTATTTTTAGTTTAAATTTACACCACATCAATCAGTGTTTCATCACAAAAATCCCAATTTCTATAGCAAAAATAAATAAATAAATAAATAATATTTTACATGTAATTTACTTATTTTTTACACAATATTTCATTACAAAACCTTGCTAAATCCTATTGTAGATGAATGAATGAATGAATGAATGAATGAACATATCTTTTTACACACTTTTTACACAACAAAATCCTTGCTAATTCCATCGCAAAAATTAATATTTTTTTTTACAATTCATTTTATTTTTTTTACGTATTATTATCTTTTACAAAACACAACAACCAAAATTTCATTACAAAAACCTAGCTAATTCCTATTGCATAAACAAACAAATATATAGATAGATAGATAGATAGATAAATAAATGTTTTACTAATCTTTTTACGCACAACAACAAATGTTTCATAACAAAACACTGCTCATTCCTTTTGCAAATGTATGAATGAATGAAACAGTCAATCAATAAATAAATCCTTTTATTATTATTGTTACTACTATAACACACAACCAATGCTGCATTACAAAAAAAACTTTCTAATTGCTGTTGCAAAAATGAATAAAAAATGTTTTCAAGTAATGTATTTGTAATTATTTATTATTATGTTTTATTTTTATTATTTTTTATTTTATTACTATAAAATAATAGTCAATGTCTCATGACGAAAACCTTGCTAATCAGTTGTTGATGGAATCGGTGCAGTAATGCAAGAGAACATATCTGATCACAGATGTGAATTTCTTATGTCACATGTACATTAGACACGTATGCACACACAGATGAATGCGTTACACATTCCAGCACATGCTTCACTTGTTAACTAGACTCATCAGTTCATCACGTGTGTCTGTCCTGAGGGAACGCCTCAGCCCAGAACAACCAATCACTTCCCCGGAGGAGACGCTATTGTCCTCTGGCAGCGCTGACAGGTATTCATTAAACTCCTCGAACATCAGCAGTGCTATTATTTCCCAGCTTTGTCCCATTCAAACGACTCAGCGATTGTTCAGAGCCTATTGTGTAGCGATCTCTAGCTCACGCCGCACACGGTAATAACATACTTAGTCTGGAGTGTGTAAAGGCTGATGGGCTTTCAGCTGATGTATGATCTTTATATCATAAAGAAATATGTTCAGAGAGTGGATTGAAGTTAAAACAGTTAAGGGTTGAAATGAACTGCTGGGAATCTATGGCCAAATGTAATTAACAAGTTTAAATATCTATTAACAAATTCAACCTTTAAAGCTGAATAACTCAACTGTTTGAATAGAGACTAAAGCAGCTGTCATGCATTTTAATCAATCACGGAGAACATGAGGGCTTTGTAAGATAATGGCAGATTCATACTGATTGACAATATGGGCCGCAGCCATTTCATAATAAAGGATTGGTAGTGTTTTGATGGAAAACGCTTGAGGTTTTGATGTTGACCAGCGTTCAGCTGATCATTTGCTTGAAACTTGTCATCCAAACGCATGTGAAAGAACTGTGTCTGTTTGGAAAGACTCAGCGACACTAAAGGCATTGACAGATGAGAGAAAGCAACAAACCTAGACAAGAAACATTTAATCAAAATGTGAATTGCATGACGTAATTGCATTTAAGTGAATGTATGAAAATAAACTGTTCAATTTTCATCTATTACTATTCTATACTTGAAGTCAATATCTATGAAAGGAAAATAAAATTTGTCAAATTACAAGTTGCACAAAGATTTGCTGATGTGCAAGACAAAAACCTCCACAATGACGAATATAGTTTTCTAAAGAAATAAAATAATAAACAAATAATAATAATAACAATTATTATTATTATTGCTCCATAAATATTTTAAAACAAGGACAACAATTAATAATAATAATAACAATAATAATAATAATAATCATCATAATGTCACTTTTCGTTTATGATTATTTGATAATAATAATAATAATTATTATTATTATTAGTAGTAGTAGTAGTAGTAGTAGTAGTAGTAGTAGTAGTTTTATTATTTGTATTTTTGTTTCTTTTATTATTATTTGTATTATTTATTTTAAAATAAGTAGTTAAGAAACAGACAATGTTAAACATCTCAATCAATCAATCAATCAATCAAAGTAAAAATACAATAATGGATTTCTCTTTTCCTATTCAACAACAACAACAACAACAACAACAACAACAACAACAACAACAACAACAACAACAACAACAACAACAACAACAACAACAACAACAACAACAACAACAACAACAACAACAACAACAAC